GAACCTTGCTCCACATATGGTTCCATTTCCAACCGCACTTTCTTCAATTCTCTGGCGGTCCTTGTGAAGCTAACTCGTTTCTGCTTGCTCATAACGTAGCTCTCACAACGACCCATATCAACAGATTTCAGACCTTCTAAAACTCCTTTCGCAGCCAACCTCTTCATTTCTTTGGCGCTCATAGGTTCAAGTCTATTGTGTCGTAGACTTGAATTTGAAGCACTCTCAGCAACAGCAGCTATGTTCATACACCTTGTAGTGGTGTATAGGGTTCCAGATTTTAAGCCACGTGCTACCACCGTAGCACCCTTCATAATCTTCCACGAACCATTCCCTAGCTTTGTTGCATAACCTATGCTGTCCAACTGACCAATAGAGATCAGATTCTTCTTGAGACTAGGAATATATCTGACATCCTTTAATGTCCACTGGTTTCCTGCCGGAGTTTATATGCAGACATCTCCTTTTCCTTTAATCTCCAAATCTTTGTTGTCGGCAAGATACACCTTCTCGAAATTTCAAGACTTGAAATTCCGAAACAACTCTTTATTTGGAGACGAATGAAAAGATGCACCTGAATCCAAAATCCAAGATTCAATCGAATTGTCCACGCTGAGGACTAGAGCATCCCCAATGTCTTCTGCTGAACTTATAGAATCATCATCATCTCCAGATTTGTGATTCTGCTTCATCTTTGGTCTTGTACAACCTGTCCGAAAGTGACCTTTTTCTCCACAATTCCAACACATTACGTTTGGTCTATTTGGAGATTTTTCTCGGTTCTTTGATTTTGATCCCCCTTTGTTTGGGCCCTTCGGTTTACTTCTTCCCCTTCAATCAACACTGAGAGCATTGCCTGATGAATCTCCAGTTTCTCGTTTGCAATACTTTCGCTGAGAACTACATCTCGAATTTCACCAAACCTCAATTTATCAGATCCTCGGGAACTGCTGATTGCGGCAACAACAGTATCCCATGACTCGGGTAAGGATGACATCAAAATTAACACTTTAATTTCATCTTCGAAACTAATTTCTACCGAACTCAGTTGACTTATGATCATATTGAATTAATTTATATGATCAGTAACAGGTCCACCTTCAGACATCTGTAGATTGAACAATCTACACACCAAATACACCTTGTTCATAGCCGACGGTTTTCGTACATATTCGACAGCGCCTTCATCAGATCTGACGTTGTCGATCCTTGAGCTTCCACTGTTCCGTGGTCATGGTATCCGGCTTCACCCCCAACAGAGGTTCATGAAGATCTTTCTGGTACATATAATCTTCAATTTGCATCTTCCAAAAACCGAAATCGGATTCATCGAGCTTCTTAATTCCAATCTTTGATCTTTCCATCTTCACAGATCGTGGTGAATTTCGCCTAGCTTTGATACCAGTTGTTAGGATCGCACGACAACGCACACGCTCGATCTAGATGAACACAAAGAACAGGATAGAGAAAAGTGCAAGGAGAACTCTGGCTAAAAGGATTTTTTTTTTTTTTTTTTTGTATTGATGACTCACGTATGTATAGTAAGAGAGAATGACAGAGAATAGAAAATACTTTCCAATGCTCTACCGGACGGGATATATATATAGTTCAGTTTACTACATATAGGTTTACCAGATTTAACCATCTACTATATATAGCTATTTACAATATATAGCTTTACCCGATTTAACATCTACTATATATAACTATTTACCATATATAGCTTTACCGGATATAGCTTTACCAAATATATCTTTACCGGATATAACCGTTGACCAAGCTATAAATAACCAGCAGACTCCATAACCTAATAGTTTTTCTACCATCTTTTATAAAAGAATACCTATTCAAATAACCATCATGCATGACCTTCCTATCAAATTGCGAATGTCAGCCTAGCAATATGCCTCCAACAAGTATTGGTAGCACATCACAAAGAACTTTATCTTTATGTTTCCCCAAAGTAAAAGATATTAAACTTTAGAAACTACCTTTATTGTTCCACTATCATTGAGACGTGGAAGCTTGTAAGGCATAGGATGGTGTTGAGTTGGAATTTGCAACCTTTTGATCAACATGGTACTTAATACATTGGTGCAACTTTCACTATCAATAACAAGACTACAAGGAGTCCCCTTGACTAAACACCTTGTGTGAAATAGGTTGTCTCTTTGATCATCAACATTATTCTCCGTAACTTGAGTTTTAAGAAGTCTTCTCAACAAGTGTCAAATGATTCCCATCTTCCAATTCTTCATCATTCTCCTGGTTTTCTTTTTCAACTAGCTCATCCTAGTCACTTTCCTCAATATCTGTGACAGCTTGTCCATTCTTGGTGGTCATGACTCTCTTGTTAGGACAATCACCACTAATATGACCAATTTCTTGACATTTCCAAGATTTGATGTCTCTATTTCTTTCTCGAACCTCCTTGTATTCCTCAACTTTCTCTTTACCCTTGGAGGTCTCAACTTTGTTCTTTTTGTCAAGCTCATACTTTCCTCTAACCTTGAAATCTATCTTTTCAATATTTGCATCCTTTTTCCAAGTGTTGAAAGTTGTAGACTTAGGAATAGCATACCTCTTGGAGTTCTTTTCCCAAGCTAGTTGCCCTTCGATTTTGACAGCAAGGTGTAACAATTCTTGCATATCAAAGTATGCTTGCCTATCCACTTGATGAGCAAGTTGTGTGTTTAACCCACCAAGGAATCTGGCCATTATATCATCGTTGTCTTCATCAATGCATGCTCTATTCATAAAGACCTCCATTTCTTTGTAATATTCTTCAACACTCTTGGAAACCTATTGCATTGTATATAGTTTTTCCTTGAGTACTCGAGAATAATGCTTAGGAATGTACATTTTTCTTATTAATAACTTCAATTCCTCCCACATTTCAACTGGTTCTTCATAATTTCTCCTCCACTCTGATATCAAAGATGTCCACCAAATTACGTAATCACAAAATTCAGCCATAGAAAGCTTCAACTTTATTTCTTCACTGAAATTGTTGCAATAAAAAACATGCTCAATTTTGCTCTCATATTGCAAATACTCTTCTAGATCAGATCTCCCATAGAAAGTTGGAAGCTTTACTCCCTTGACTTCTTCTTCTTCGCCTCTCTTATATTGGTACTCTCTCTCACTTCTTTTTTGTGCTAAAATTTCTCTACCCCTTGTTTTACTTCCTCTCCCTCGACCGACATCTCCTCCTTCTCGTAGGACTATGTCCCGCTAAAAGGGTGAAAGAACAATATCAACACAATGGTTCCAAATTTAGATGATTTAGAAAAAATGTCAATTGAAGTTTATTCGATATTCAAATAAACATGCAAATTGTCTAATGACAAGGATTTATAATCACAATATTAAGAACAATATGATAGGGATTCTTTTTTTTTTTTTTTTTCAAATCTAAATATGATCTACAATAATAAAATGAGAATAAAGTGAGAAGATTATAAAGAATGGTTGAACTAGCCGCAACAGAATAAATGGATAGATTTGAAGAAAAGAAAAACAATAGCATAAACGAAAAATAAAATGAATTCTAGAGTAGGCCACTAAGATGCAACCTAGGCTATGATATCAAATTGATAAGGCAACCTAAATCCCAACAATTCATGTTTTTTTGGAAACAAAAACGGTTGAATCAATCAAATTAACACCTCTTGTACAAAATTTGGATAAACCAAGATATAAGGCTAGAATTAGATTACCCCTTAAGATCAAAGATCTAGAGCTCAGATGCAATCTGCCACAAGAATTGCATGAAACTTAGAAATGACAAAGATGATGCTCGAATTTCGAAAGGTGAAAGTCTCAATTTGAGATCTCAAATTCATTCATTCACAATCTCTTTTTTATGTAATAATTTGTGGGTATTTATAGTTACCCACAAAAGAAATTTTCAATTTTTCAAATGTCCACTAAAGAAGTTAGCGACCAAAATTTAATCCCGATCCGTTAAATCTCCAAAAAAGAAGTCAATTTGACCAATGACTTCCACCCTTTTGCCCATACAATAATTATGAAATTAAAAATAATAAATAAAGTTTTCTAACAACTTATCAATCAAGTTCAAGCAACTTCATCCATGCAAATATTTACTTCTGAAGATTTAAATGGTTCTTTCTCAATCAAATCAGCTTGTAACACATGAAATAATGGTTGAATCAAGCCTATCCAATTTTGTAGATGAAGAATGAATGCTTGTTGAATCATCTTGGCCTTGGATCGTGTAATAGATCCAGTTGAAACATTTGGAACACCGTGATCCTTATCAAACTCATTGTATAGAATACCCCCACTTACATGTCTCTACATGAACAATTTGGATCAAATCACTTGTAACGATTATAAAGTGGGTCGTGTTAGTTTACTTAGTCTAAATAAAGTCTCACTTTGTGTAGAACTCTGTACTTTAGAATAGGACTTTAACTTTTAGAAGTCAGTTAGAGTAGACTCCTTATTTATCGTTTCTTTTGTTTTGTTATATATGACTATTTAATAGCCTGGTATTTTTCCATTCAATAATAAAGCATTTTTCCTTCCAAAACATACTTTTCTCTGCTATTATTTCTTTAATTTCATCATTTGGTATTAGAGACATAGTAAGGGATCTGATTAAAATTTGAAGTAGCAATCTTCAAGATGTCTACAGAAAGCTCTTTTGTGCCGCTAGTCATCCCAAAGTTTAAGGGGCATTATGATCACTTGGTAATGCTCATGGAAAACTTTTCGCGATCAAAGGAGTATTGGGATTTAGTAGAAAATGAAATTTCTGCAGTAGCTGGAGGATCTACTGATGCACAACAGAAGAGCATTGATGATCAGAAGCTGAAAAATTTGAAGGCCAAGTATTATCTTTTCCAAGCATTAGATCGTTCAATTCTAGAAACGATTCTAAACAAGGATACAACGAAGGACATATGGGACTCTATGAAGAAAAAAATATCAAGGAACAACTAGGGTCAAGCTTGCACAAGCAAACACTCAGAATGGAATTTGAAATTCTTCAAATGAAGACAGGAGAATCTGTAAATGAATATTTTGCTCGAACACTTGCAATAACAAATAAGATGAAAGAAAATGGTGAAAGAAAAGGAGACGTTGCTGTTTGGGAAAAGATTTTAAGATCTATGACTTCCAAACTTGATTATGTGGTTTGTTCCATTGAGGTATCTAAAGATATAGATACTTTAACCATTGATGAATTGCAAAGCAGCCTACTTGTTCATGAACAATGCATGCGTTCTCACATCAATGAGGAACATTCCTTGAAAGTGACAAATGGAGATCAGTCAGGAGGAAGGGGTCGAGGTCGTGGAAGTTTCAAAGGAAGGGAACGTGGAAGAGGTAGGCAACACTTCGAGAAAGCCATAGTAGAATGCTACAATTGTCCCAAATTTGGGCATTTTCAATGACAATGTGCAAGTAAGAATGAAGTGACAAACTATACAAAGACAAAAAAAAGATATAGATACTTTAACCATTGATGAATTGCAAAGCAGCCTACTTGTTCATGAACAATGCATGCGTTCTCAAATCAATGAGGAACATGCCTTGAAAGTGACAAATGGAGATCATTCAGGAGGAAGGGGTCGAGGTCGTGGAAGTTTCAAAGGAATGGAACGTGGAAGAGGTAGGCAAAACTTCGAGAAAGCCATAGTAGAATGCTACAATTGTCCCAAATTTGGGCATTTTCAATGACAATGTGCAAGTAAGAATGAAGTGACAAACTATACAAAGACAAAAAAAGAGATTTTACTGATGGCTTGCACGGGTTTGAAAAAGGAGGAAGATGGCTAATAAGATTGTTGGTATATTAATTTTGGCTGCAACAATCATATGGGTGGAGTAAAGCAATATATTTCAGATTTAAATGAAAACTTTAGAGATTCAGTAAAACTCAGCAACAACACAAGCTTGGTTGTACTAGGAAAGGGCAACATAAGGCTGCAAGTGAATGGAACAACGCATATTATTACAGAAGTGTTCTATGTTATAGAATTGAAAAACAACTTGTTGAGCAATTGGACAATTGGAAAAACGGGGACTTGCTGTTACGTTTCAATATGGAAGGTGTAAGGCGTTCCATCATGAGAAGGGTTTAATCATAGATACAAAGATGTTAGAGAATCGAATGTTCATACTTCAAGCAACATTTTCAACCTCTACCGTCAGTGTGCTTCAACTCAATCACTGAGGACAAAGTGCAGCTTTGGCATTGTAGATATAGGCACCTGATAACTCTTTAAAAGTAGAGTCATATCTAGTCTTTTTGTAGTTAATATTGCACTCTTATTCACCATTTTCTCATTTATTACCCCATTGATTCTACTTAGTGAACATGAAATCGTTTATTGCGGTCCAACATGAAAAAAAAAATATGATTTGATATAAATCGATCTTAATTGTACATTTAATTGAGTTATGTGGTAAAATTTCAGACATTTATGCTAAACCATGAGGGAGTAGCAAATTTGGAAACAAACGGGGGATGACATGGAAATTTTAAATCCACATCCGTCATCCAAGTGGGTCATTGACTACCCAATGAAGAACATCCTATGTTGACAACTTATTTCTTTTCCGCCTAAAGGGGAACCCATGCTCAATATAAAAGGAAAAAGAAGACCAAGAGGAGGGTGACACACTTTGGGAGAAAAAAATCGGATTAGACAGTAGTGCCTCTGCTGCTGTGAACTGCTGTGAAACCAGAGAAGAAGAAGAAAAACCCTAATCCAGCAACGGTTGACAGTAGAAGGAAGAGAAGACCAAGAAGGATAGATTAGGACAATGAGGTGGACGTGAGAGCTCAAGGAAAGGGAACTTCCATTGAAGAACGGCAACAAAGCTGGATAAGTCTCTATTTCCTTACTCTCTTTTCTTATTCTATCAATTTTATATGATTAAGATGTGGGTTTCTCTGTTTAATTCAGTTTGTATTGAGAGCTAAACTTTATAGGAGAGGCGAGAGAGTTTTATATAGTTCAAGTATGTTGACGGTATGATTTTAGTTTATAAAAGAGTTGTTGTTAATGATTTACATGTGTGTTTATTTAGCTACTTTACATACATAGTTGTTCTCTTATTCGGGAGAAGAGAGGGAGCAATGAAATCCTCTTTAATACTCTAGTTCCATAGCAATGAGACTTGAAGGGTAATAGAAGGGTTAAGAATAATTTTTCTCCTAGAGCCTTGTTAATAGAAATCACAACGATTATGGAAATAATCACCATTCATGACCCTCAGAAGAGGGCTTGGGAATCTATTAAAAGGAACAAAAATCTATTACAAAACTTAACAACTTATCTATTTAACCTCTCTTAGCTGAACCTTCCTCATTATAGTTGGTTTTCTCATCATTTTCTGTTTTTCAACAGCAGTGTCACTCTGTTTTAGTTTTGTTTAAGTAGTTAAAATCACCAACACCTATTTGAATGTTACCCAAAAACTCACCTAATTTTCAACGATAAAATTAACCAAAAGGATAGGTTCCCTGTGGAATCGATAATTTACTTATTACTTGCTATTTGTAATAGTGTATAGTTGCACTTATTCTTGTGAATTTTTCATCATTTTATTATATACATCCACAAGCGACCAGCACCTGAGTTTGATGGTTTGAAACCACTGACAAAAGAAAGAAGGTGAATGGATTACCTGAACTTAATTCTCCTTCAAGGCAACAAGGACTGCTTAACAAGAAAACAACAAAGAGGATCTTTTCCAAAGCAAAGCACGTGGAGAGCTTCACAAGTGCTTCAATCAATACATGTTGATATATGTGGACAAATAAAACCCATCTCCAACGGTAAGAAAAGGTACTTTGTAGTGCCCCTAATTTTCTTAACCTAATTAGTGACATCATCCGTACATGCATAAATCTTTAAACGAAAAATTCAACATAAATAGTCTTGGAAACAACATCAGTCTTACATAAAGATTCAAAATCCGAACTAAAGATAATTCCGAAACGAAAACATTCAATAACTGAATTAGAAAATTTAAATAAAATGAACGTTCAATGATCTAACTTAAAAACCCAAATACAAACATAAACGGGTAACTGTACCCTCTCTTGAGTCTTCCATGGTAACCTCAGCTCCATCGTCAGCCATACATCGGCGCCTTGCCTTTACCTGAAAATGAAGGTAGCACGTGGCTTGAGTATTTTATAAAATACTCAGTAAGTCACTCCACTATTGGGGTTAGAAATGCAAACACATGCAACATATGAGTGAGATCTAACTTTTGTAAACTTGCCTTGGGTGCTTTTCTATTCTGGGTAGGGTTGGATGTGTGGTATTTCTCCACACGAGGCCCATGTACGCGCACATGAACTCACTAGGTGGGCTCGTATACGTACCCTTAGGTCTGGCTTGGTCGGGCACAACATATTATACGTCACTAGACACCACAGAACAAAAAATGCCCACATGATATCATGGCGAACATAAATATCGAATTTCATTCTTTCATGACATAAAGAGGAAGTATCCCAATAGAAATGACATATAAACATGCATGAGGTCTCATAACTTACATTACATGGCATATTACTTGTAACACCCCCAAAACGAAGGAAAGCCACCTATGCAAGACCCAAAGGATCCAAGGAAAGAAATTATGAGGATTAAGTAACAAAGAAGTCTTAGTAAGTCATTTCTACTCCATAAGAAGTAATCTTAAGGACTCAAGACCTTTGGAGAAGGATTGGGACTGAAGGCGTAAGCGAAAATGATAAAAAGGTCATTTTCCCAAATATCAAGGATCTTCTCGGATTTTTAATTCCTTATCTAAAAGGAATTTCAAGATGTTGAAGAATGAAAAATGACCAACAAGAGGTGAAGAATTTTTAGAAAAATTATGGATTTTTCAGGAAAATAAATTAAAATATTCGGGAAGTGGAAAATTACCATAATACCCCTGGAAGAATGGATAATTACAAAAATACCCCTCTGATCAGAATCAGAGCCTTTACGGTGACCATCTGAGCAAAATCTCTCAAAACTCAAATATCAGCTGTTGGATCTTCTCCAAAATTGGATATGGTCTAGAAGATGGACAGATCATCACATCCAACGGCTATTATGCAAAACCAAAGTCTGTGAGGCTCTAACCGGAGTAGATATTTCCAGCGGTTTTTCCAGAAAATCCAACCGCCAATTCACGACGATTCTGGAGCTCCCAATGTCGATTTAAGTTTCCCCTATAAATTCTAAAGTGGGGCAATTGTTTGGAACAAGAATCGAGAAAGTTCCATCTCCCAGTCGTTGGCAATAAGTGTTTAGATTTTGGGTCTTCTACTCTCGGGGTTCTTCTAAATTCAAGAGCAATTCTCCACCATTTCCTTTCAAACTTGTTCCTATAGCTTCTAAACAAGCTTACCCACAATTTCTATGAAGGAATGGAGAGCTGAAACGTCATAGAATAAGATACCCTAGAGATCAAAAATTAGAGGTGTTGGGTAACTTGCAGACTGAGAGAGGTTTCTCAAAATTAAGATCCCGCACTCAAAGTCGTTCCTCCAAACCAATTCCTTTATCTTTAAGGAAGAATAAGGAAGAGGTTTCGTGAAGAAATCGAGCTTCAAAAACCCCTAGAATCGACTACCCAATAAGAAATCCTCCTGTTTTACTCCGGCGAGAAATCATATTTTGGACGAACTTTGGAAGCAAATATCTTAGGCTACGATCCAAGAAAAGGTACAAAATCTATCCCTAGCTCTTCCTTATAACACCCTCTTTAAGTTTCATGAAGGAATCGAGGGGAGAAACAATGTGATGGGAGCTGGGGAGGGCAAGTTACAGACGGCGGCGCGAACGGTCACGCGTGTCTTTTTCCCGTCTGGAGGAAGAAGACGATGACGTGGCCGGTTCAGTTGAACCGGCCATGTCAACCCAAAAACTGAACCTTTCCTCAGTTGTTCTTAATTTTAACCCCCTTTCAGATTGATTCTCATGAAAAATTCTATGGTTCCAGAAAGTAGACACAATAAGAAATCTGTAAAAGGAAAGTTAAAGTAATTCGGGTACCGGAAGCTCAAGAGAAGAGGTCCCGAACGTCGACAACAAGGTAAGTAGCCACCTTGGACTTTTTGTTAAGAAATACTTGTAGGAATCGCTTGGATTTCCATATGAACCCTAAACCAAGTATGAAATTAGGATATATGAAAGAAAAACCCTAGGAACCATAAGTTAAGACCTTGAACCGAACAAATTTCTCGGGATTTAAGTAACGTTAAAATAACCCACTAGATGAACTTTGCTGCCTATGAAATTTTAATGCCGAGGATACCATAGCATGTTGAGGTTACATATGAAGTTTGGTAGTTATTGGATAAGGATAAGTAGGTAAACCAAGAAATTGTGCAAAATGACCATAATGCCCCTAAGGACATCTATCTACGGTTCATGAC